TTTCTTTTCAAATAGTATTCAAATATTTTTCAATACTCTAATGCTGTATTAGATATTAGATGGTAAATGCTTTATTAGAATGATATGTTATTCTCAACCCCTCAAAATCAATTGATCCAAAAAGAAATAAGTAAGGGGGGAGGGGAATCAAATGAATTAAAAGTTTAGAATCCGTTGAAAGCTTTTTTAAACAATAGCCCCTTTTGTCCAAAGCGTACAAAAAAAACGTTTAAAAGTGAAATGATTTTCTTACCCACGTTAGTCAATCATTAAACCCTGTTTTGAATCTCGAAAAAATCGATGTGTGCAATTCTTAAAAGTGAAATGATTTTCTTGATTTTTTTGATTCTTGGAAATGATTTTTTTAAAACAATTAGTTTTCTTTTTCAAAAATAGCTTTTTATATTTTATTGCCGATAAAATATTAGTAGATGGATAGATCTAGACTTAATACTAATATTAATAAAATAATAGGTTGATGCATAAGTCTTTTCGTTCCTTTTCGTCTGCCGTTTCAAGCCAACAAATGCACCAATTAAACTACGGTTGATTCCATTAGAAAAACCAATTATTTTCTGCAAAATAACATTAAAACGGGTTTTTAAAATATTTTATGCCTGGATTTTCTTGAGAGTATGAAGTCGGGTAGTCAAAAAAGGGCTAACTCGATGATGCGGTTTAGACACCTTAGCTAAAGAAAACCTATCTTCATGTCAATAGATAAAAAGATAGAGAAAAAAAGTTTGATATTTCGCCAAAATTTCAGAGAAATTCATTCAGCCAATTTTTCCGTAGAGTTTTTTATAGATTTTTACGAAAAAGGCGTTTTTCACTCTCGAATTTGCTTCAAAGTGAACCGAAATTCATTTAAAAAGATGCAAATTGAACAAAAAAACACTTTTTTTATAGAGCAAACTATAGATTAATTGGTGAATTTGTTACTTTTTAACAGAAGTACGAAAAAAACGAAAAGACTTATGCATCAACCTAATATTAATAAAATATTAGTATTAAGTCTAGATCTATCCATAGAACCCCCACAAGAGGAGGGGAGTCTAAAAAGTCAATATTTCGAGGGGTCAGAGGTGTTATCCTAACAAAGCATTTACGATAATATAAATATGCTTTATTCAGGGGGCGAATAGAAGCGAATCAGATAATCATAACCGCATATAACATATTGCATATAGTAAAGAGATTCTGAAATTCGGCTCTTTTTTTTTGTTTATAGTTGTTGAGATTTGTTGTTGTTGCGCTTTCCTTTTCCCTATCTCTTTTTTTATTTTCCAGGGTATGCATGTGGTACAGTCTCTACAAATCTCAAACTGAACCTCTCGAAACACAACGAACGCTTCTCTATTTTCTTAGTAAATTACTTGAAGATTAGCTAGACAATAGTTGAAATCGAAAATCGGGGGTAGTCAAAACAGCAAGAAACAAAATAAAAAAAAAAAAAACAAGCCGGTTCAAGTTTTATCTCAAAAATTCCTTGCGTTCTTGGCTACATGATGGGTGAAACAGTTTTTAAAAGTTCATATTTCATAGATAAAAAGGCACTCAAAATGTGTGTCGAGTGATACTCGGTTGGTTAACTGAATATCTTTAGAGACCCATTATTTTTTATATGAAATATGAACTTAAACTTCACCATATGTGCCAAGAACGTGGAATTTTTTTTGGATAAACTTGAACCGGCTTGGTTTTTTGGATTTTGAGAAATTTGACGGCGCTGTTTTGAACGTTTTCTATTATGGCGCTGTGAGTTTTCTATTATGGCGGTACTACCCCGAAAATCCTTTTAAGATTATGATCTTTCCATTTCTAGGTATGGCCACAGATGTCTGGGCCTAATTCGCGGTGATAACGAAAAGAGCTTGAGGATTATCTCGAAAGATACGAGCACGATATAAAGGTTTGTGAAATAACTTCTTCTTACTTGCTTTCTTTCTTACTTACTTACTCCTCTCTACTTTACTCCTTCTTACTCTCTTTCACTTTCTTCCTTACTTTTACTTCCTCATTTCTCTTAATTTCTTTCTTACTTACTTTCTTACTTACTTACTTTCTTACTTCCCTTACTTTCTTCTTACTTTCTTCTTACTTTCTTTCTCTTACTTTCTTACTTTCCTTACTTACTTCCTCACTTTCTTCTTACTTTCTTGCCCTTCTTACTTACTTTCTTTTTTACTTACTTACTTTCTTACTTACTTCCTTACTTTCTACTTACCTTACTTTCTTTCTTACTTTCTTATCTTACTTACTTGAATTTTCCTGCTTAATCTATTTCGAGATCTATTTCTATTGAATCGAAATGGTCAATTTTCATCTAGAATTTTTTTGGCATAGATTGAATTGTTGTCAGTCCATTTGGAAATGACTAATATAAAAAGTAAATTAAGTTTGCAGTTAAAAGTAAAGTAAATTTGAATTTCTTCTTGTTTAATTTAAAACAAGTACTACATAATTGCATAGAAAATGAAAATGCAGCCTCTCCCAACGCCCCATCCACTATTTCCTTATCAGCCGAATCGAGGCTCGAAGGATCGGCTTACGTGTCTCTTTTTGCAATGAAAGAATCAAGAAAAATTCAAGTTTAATATTAAATAATCTTTAAATATTATATAGTATTTAATAAACGAAAGCGCAATTATAAAGAAACTAGCTTTTTTTGTATTTTCAGAAAATAGAAGAAGTTGCGAATCTCCTCGATAAAGCAATCAACGAATCGAAGCGACGTTGTGGAGAGATTCAAAAGGAAATTCTATTGGAACAAAATCAAGTCAAAATTTTTTAGATTTTAAATCACAAACTCGTTTTCAGCTTAAAATCGAGATACTTGCTCGAGAGTTGTGCGTTCAACGTCACATTCACGCATTGACAATCACGAGAAACGCCAAATTTTTCAATAGAGTCCGAGTTTTAAATCATTTTTATCGTTTTTAAACAAACCAAATTTCTCTTTTACTCTTCTCAAATCACCTTTTTCTTTTTCCTTTTTTTCTAAAACTTTGATTTCCGTTTCTAAAACGTGTCAACTTTCAAAAAAAAAAAACTACTGTAATTTTCAACCGTAAATACTGTAATAGTATCCCACCCCCCTCGTACAGTCGCGTAGTCGCAAAAGTTTTTTAGTATTTCATTTTTTTCAAAGCGCTTGTGCTTAAAAAATGCGTCAATTTGGTATCAAAAAATAGCTGAAATTCAGGGCTATTTTTTGATACCTAAACCCGCATTGTAGCATAAACCAGTGTCAAGAAAAACTCGTTCAAAGCTAGACTACGCAACACTCTGCACCGTCATTTAGGGGGTGGGGTACTTATTGGCAATAATATTTACGGTAGTAAGTTTCTTTAGGAAAAGCTCAACTTTCACCAATGAGCTTTACAGTATTTACGGTAGGTTTTCCAGAAAGTCTTTTCGTTCCTTTTTGGTAATTCCGTTGAAAATAACAAATTCACCAAGTAACCTATGGTTTATTTCATTAGAAAGGTCAATTATATTTTGTTTCATTAGAAAACGCAAGGAGAATATCTACCGTAAATACTGTAATAGTACCCTTGTAAAGTCGCGTAGTTGCAGTCGCAAAAGTTTTTTAGTATTTCATTTTTTTTTCAAAGCGCTTGTGCTTTCAAAAAATGCGTCTTGAGTATCAAAAAAGTAGCTGAAATTCAGGGCTATTTTTTGATACCTAAACGCGCATTGTAGCATAAACCAGTGTCGAGAAAAACTTGTTCAAAGCTAGACTACGCAACACTCCGCACCGTCATTATGAGGGTGGGGTACTATCACAGTATTTACGGTAGGTTTTTATCCAGTTACATTTCGAACTCTGGCTTTAGATCTGTCTTCTAATGTCTTATAATCTTCTCCTTGTGAATGAATCATTTGTCAAATTGATTCATTGATTAAATTTGGCTTAGTTTAGTCCTGATTTAGCCCTGGTTTAGCCCTAGTTTCTGATTTCTTTCAAAAGCTAATAGCTTAATCGAAAAAGAATTTCTTATCAAATTTAATCAATGACTCAATTTGACAAATGATTCACTCAAAGAAAAGCCGCTCCCAAAAAGGAAATTGAATTGTAATCCCGAAATACTGAAGGAATTTTTGAGAGAGAAGAATTCCCAATGATTACTTCACACTTATTGCAAAAAAAGAAAGACCGATCCTGCCAAAAAGAAAGACTTCAGAGCCCATTCTTCGGCGCCTATTAAACGCTTTTTTTTCGCTTAAAAAGTGAGGAATCTCATAAGAAAAGTGAAAAAAAGAGAATAAAAAGAATAAAGAGTGATATCTTGAATGCTTTTCTCTTTCTTGTTTCTCTTTTCTTTCCCCTTTTCTTTGCTTGATTCCCCTTTGATAAGAAAGTCGATGAATGGGTGTTTACGAGGGGCTCCAACCCTTCCAACCTCTTCAATTTTCATTCTTTTAATCAAGAATAAACCGCTTTCCATTCAATCATACACTATTGATTTTTTTTATTTTACAAAATCTCTCATTGATCTTTGATTTCAATCATTGATCATTGATTTCAATCATTGATTCCCCCATCAAGCTCACAAGCATCAAGCTCACCCTTCTGCCATTTAACAAGCAGCTTTTCTTTCTTCTAAAGTTTGACTGAGCTGTTTTCTAAAAGGCTACACTACTGGACAATGAAATATCATATTTGAAAAAACTTCCTCGTTGAAAGATCGTTGAAAAAAGATCGTCACAAAAAGATCGTCTGTAACTCCCTTGTCTTTACCGTATTTCTAAATATTAATATTACCATTGTGTAGCCCTTGAAAAGAGCTTTCAGAAAATGTATAACACTAATAGTTTAAACTCAAAGACAAGGAAGTTACAGCTTACTGCTTACCAGTTACTAGATACAGTACTGGACAATGAAATGATATTTGAAAAACGATCGTCACTTTCGCGCGTCTGTAACTCCCCTTGTCTTTGAGTTTAAACTATTAGTGTTATACATTTTCTGAAAGCTCTTTTTCAAGCGCTACACAATGGTAATATTAATATTTAGAAATACGGTAAAGACAAGGGAGTTACAGACGTGCGAAAGTGACGATCTTTTTTCAAATATCATATTTCATTGTCCAGTAGATGTATATCTAAAGAGTTTTATCTAAATTTTTGTTAAAAATACAACTGAAACCAAGCATTTAAACTATTTACAATACTTTTAAAGCTTTAAAACAATTTATTCAAAATCATTAAATTAACAATCATCATTTTCCTAACTTCGACTTCAGAAATACCCATCAACAAACACCGGACAATCATTGAGAAACGAGTACTTCACACAGAAAAGACTCAGAGAGGTTTGTAATAAAAAAAAGAAATTTGAAAGAAAATGATATCACTTTAGGCAGAACGTCGGAATCTTTTGATTCGAGATTCTTCGGAAGAGTTTGTGAAAGAAATTCCAAGGTATAGATGAGTCATCGACTCGCTGTCATGCAATTTTCCTTTTTAGACCAGAGCTTCTAGGTCGGCTAAATTCCGTTCAACCGATAACAATTGAAAAAGAACAAAAAAAGGAGTTTAAAAAAGGAAATACTCGGCGGATCACTAGAGACCACAATGACAGGTTCGTCGAAAGAAAAAGATAATTTGATTTGATTTGATTTGATTTTAGTTGTTTTAAGTTTAGTTGATTTGATTTGATTTGATTTTATTTTATTTTATTTGATTTGATTTGATTTTGATTTTTGATTTGATTTGATTGATTTGATTTGATTTGATTTGATTTGATTTGATTTAACACGTTGACGACAATGGCGTTTTTGCACAAACAAGCGCATGGGACAACGTTGTTTTTTTCGACAAAAAATGTCACCTGAAATTGTCACCTAAAAAATTAAAAATTTTAATAATCAACGGTTAAATCGACATTTTCCGGGACCAAGTCGAATATAGATACTACCCTACTTGCTTATTTAATATCCATCATCAGCAAACATAAATATGCACAAAAAAAAATCAATTTTGGTACTGTCACCTGACATCAGGTGACAATGTCCCAGGCGAACGAATATGTGTCAGACGGCATCAGGTGACAATGTCGTCAACGTGTTAAGAACAAAATCAAATCAAAATCAAATCAAATCAAATCAAGTTCTAAATTTGATTCTTAATTAATAAAAAACATTGTTAAGTACAATAAATTGTTATAAATTTTAGAAGTTATATGTTAGACAATTGCTCTTTTCACTAAAAATTGAAAGTTAGTTAGAAAGTTAGAAAGTTAAATGTTAGGAAATTGCTTTCAACTCTAGAGTTCCGTGATCTCAACGATTAGCTTTGATTCTAGACTTCGTAAAACAAAAATAGCATTATATTATAGACCAGTATCGATCTCCAAATCAAGGTACAAACATCAAATCAGTCCAAGATGATCCAGTGAGTCAAAGCAATCTTATTATTATTATTATGATTTCATTTCTCAGATTGACCACCCACCACAACAACTTTCAATGGGTTATCAAGAGTTTCGTCAAGATCGACAAAGCGCGGAAATGACAGGGACCTATCAAGAGCAATTAGGCGATTCACTTGGATACGAAGAAATGGCACACGTCGAGTTGCACATTGAGGGAGATTCTCGGGGAATCAAGAAAGAGCAAGTCGCTCACACTCATATTGCTTCATCGCAAGGAAATCAAAAACCGAATGAACGAGTCCCAACAAGCCATTCGCATGAAACTCAACTCATCGACAAGCATGAAGAACATCCACATGAACATAAACACAAAACGATTCTAGGGAAAACGTCATCAGCAATCAACAGAGCTCTAGAAAATCTTCATATCAAGAAATCGAAGAAAGAGACAAGAAGTGGATCCTCTGGATCAGAGGGAAGTCGAAAGAATACACAGGAGATTCATATTGTTTCGCAAGCTATTGCTGATCCACAAGATCCGGATAATATCGAGAATCGTTTGCTTAGATCTGGTGTACCACATGTGGATAAAACTCGACTCAATCAATTGGAAAGAGCTCACGAAGTCAACGAGATTCATTTTGATCAACAACCTTTATCGGAAACGGAAAGTGATGCATCGACGGTGATCTTGAAAGAAAAACCACAGGAAGAGAGTATTTCGGCTACAGTTCATGTACATCGACAGGGTGAACACATTCACACAAAAATCTCCCAATCTGTTGAAGAGATTCACGGGGTTGAGCCACGGTTTGAGCCACCGATTCCACCAAGGGCACCGCTTGGCTCACTCACTCCACCACCAATTCCACCGAAAAGTTATCGAGGCGAAGATGATGCTATGTATGTACAATACAATCAACCATCACCGATTCCACCAAGAAAAGTGCCGACAACACCGATTTCCACTTATAATCCATATACTGTTCAAAGTGAAATCGATAAAGAAGTGATAGAAGTGGGAAGTGTCGATAGAGAAGTGATGGAAGCGAATCGAAATAAGACTTTCTCTCCTGAGCCAGTTATTGATGAAGCTGGATATGCTGTTCCGGAAAGAGTTCTCTCACCACCACCTGAGTCAAATAAAGATAAGAAATGGACATGGAAAGGAACGAATTTATCATCGAGAAGCCGAACTCCGACCGATTATGAAGTGGCTAATTTGATGGCTGAAACGGCTAGAATTGGTCAATTGATAGAATAGTTTTAGAATAAAAAAAATCATTTTAGATTTGATTCACGAGTATCAAACGAGTCAAGAGATTCCACATATGGTTGAGCCGAATCACGTGAAGAGTCCCGTTGAAATGGAAAGGGTTTTGAGTCCGGTCGGTTTTTGAAAGATTTCATTGTGATTAGCTGTTTTCTTGAATTGTTTTCCCCCCGTTTACTAGTCATTCTTGATTTAGTCATTTACCAATCAATATTCTTGATCAATATCAATTAATATTCTTGATCAATATCAATCAATATCAAATCCCTTTTCAGGTGTTAAGCCGAGAGCATGAGGGGTTAACAAAATTGCGCTATGATGATGAGCTTGAAGAACAGCTGAGAGCATCAATCCTTCACGCAACAAAATCCCTCACTCAAACCGAGAAGAAACAGGTTTTGATAATCTTGATGAGGTTTATGATAAAGTTAAATAAGTTGAATGGCCAACTAATTCCAGGTGAGGTGAGGGCTCCGCAATCATTTTTTGATTTAATCTTTCAAAATAATCGACTATAAATATGGTTGAACTAATTGAATTGGCTTTTCATCCATTGAAAATCTATCGAATTAGACTTTAAATGACTCCCAGCTAATTGACTTCCAGCCAAGCCTTCAAGCCAATGCTTTCCTTTTCTAACATTACCAGCAGAACAGCCGGCCTAACGGTGCTTCAGAAATTGTAAAAATGATTGATAAGTTAATAAGATTGATAAGTTAATAAGTAAGTAAATAAGTTAATAAGTAAGTAAATAAGTTAATAAGTAAGTTAATAAGTTAATAAGTAAGTTAATAAGTTAAAAAGCCTTTTTTTCTTCAGGAAACTAAGCCCCATAAACAGCCGATCGAATACGCATCAATCAATCGCTCACCGGCAACAGTTCATCAGCAATTTGATGCAACTTTTTCTACAACATCCAGCATTTCTTCCACAGATATTGTTCATGAGGTAAAACTGAATAATTTGTATAGTTTATGAGAATGAATAGGTGATGTCTCGAAGAAATCTCCGTCTTGATGGAGTATCGATTCGACCAATCGACACGACAATCACTCCACCATCGACTCCAATGACAAAGTAAAGAATTTGATGATCGTCTGGCTATATACAGTACTGGACAATGAAATATCATATTTGAAAAAAGATCGTCACTTTCGCACGTCTGTAACTCCCTTGTCTTTGAGTTTAAACTATTAGTGTTCTACATTTTCTGAAAGCTCTTTTCAAGCGCTACACAATGGTAATATTAATATTTAGAAATACGGTAAAGACAAGGAAGTTACAGACGCGCGAAAGTGACGCTCTTTTTCAAATAGATATTTCATTGTCCAGTAGTGTAAATATCTAGTTATAGTTCGTATCTTAGTCATATAAAAACTATGATTTTCACTGAATACTTATTTTGATTCTTTGCCTCATTTCAAACTTCAGTCTTTCATCGGTGCCAACACACTCAATCGGGGATTATTTGAGAAGCACGGATAGGTTGGGAGATGATGAACTTTATTGAAATAAAGATCAACATTTCAGTCATCTATCAACACATCACGAGCACGAATTTCACGATTTAGTTGATGGGGAAAAGAGTGAATCGAAAAAGGTTTGAAATGGGGGAAAAATGGGGAAAAAATGGTTAAACATACTGTATAATTTGCTAGAATCTTTTCAATTTTCACGATTTCTTAAACAAAATCGAACTTTATCTGACTACAAACACTAAATTTAACCTTTCAAATTCAAATTCCCTCTTCAGAGTTCTCCAATCTACGATGAGGTAGCTCGCGATTCATCAGTGAATTCATCGATTCACACACCGACAACACCAACACCAATTGCTGCCAAAAGATCGGTGAGTACGTCCAGAAAGTAAATCAGAAGAGAATTTGCTTCTAAAAATTTCACTTTCCATTGATCAATCAATTTCAGCCAACCACCATCCACAAATCCATTCCATCGCCTCAAGCTTTTGCCCCGAAATCGGTGAGCACGTAGTTTAGGCTTCATTGTTTCATTTCATTTTATCTCCCGAATCTCTTTTTACTGTTCATCTAGCTTTGGAAGACACAAGTCATAAGAATTGTAAAATTTCAGCCAATCACCACCTCCAATCCCATTCGATCAGCTCAAATTTCTGGTCCAAAATCGGTAAAATTTTCTTAACAATCCTTGAGCTTTTCTCTAAATTTAGCCAAATCGATACGAGTTTGTCGATGGAAAAAAAGAGGCTCAGTTCTTGAAAAGCAATTTATTGAATGAGATCAAAGAAAAGGTAATGAATCAGGAAAAGGTTGGATATGTTGAAAAGAAATAGTGACTTTTATCCTTTTATACTTTTATTAGGCAAAGAATCACGAGTATGATGAAGTTGCAAGAGATGAGAAACCGAAAAAGAACGAGAAAATCGGGATTTCAAATGTTTGGATAAAGTTTTGGCTAGAATCTTTTGAATAGAAATTGCAGGAATCGATTCGACATTCGGATTTGCGTAAAATGAGAGAGATTTCGGAGAAAGGAGCTCATCAACAACAACATCAACAACATCAACAACATCAACATCAACAACAACATCAACAACATCAACATCAACAACAACATCAACAACATCATCAACAACAGCAACATCATCAACACAACAAAAAAAAAAAAAAAAAAAAAAAAAAAAAAAAAAAAAAAAAAAAAAAAAAAAAAAAAAAAAAAAAAAAAAAAAAAAAAAAAAAAAAAAAAAAAAAAAAAAAAAAAAAAAAAAAAAAAAACAACATCATCAACAACAGCAACAACAGCAAGGATATCATCACGTTCTGGTTAGTTTAAGCTTAATAAAGACAACGATACTTTTTGAAAGTTCACGCTTTTTAAATCAAAAGAATTCAGAACACTGGCGCCTACACATCGACGGTGGAGACAAGTTTTGGAGATGAGAATGTCTATGAAGAGATTGATCAATATCAGATTAACGCTGTGCAAAGAGGTGAATGAATTGATCGTTAATTTGTTAGCTTTCTTTTTCAGCTCCTCCACCAATCCCTCAATCAGCCATTCCACAACGAGTTCAAATGGCTCGAGAGACATTTGCGCATAAACAAGATTCGAGTGAAGAGCGAAGTAAGGATGAATCAAGTTCATTTATAAAGCTATGAAAGATTCTAATAAGTTTCTATTAAGTAGATTCTAATAAGATATAATCTTCAAAAGTCGATCTTCCAGGATACGAGGGAAATCGCTATCACGATGAAGCGGCTTTTGGTGAAATTGGCGAAGATGAGGCGCTTGATTGGGAGCTTATCTACACGACAAATGCAATTCGACAAATGAGTCGAAATAATAAATGGAGAGAGAGTATTCTTAATAAAGATCGCATACCAAAGGTATTTGAAAGAATAAAATGAAATCGTATCCAATCATTTTAGCCACCAAAGAAGCAACAAAAGGAAATACCCGATGTTTTGCCGAAAAACTCGCCATTTGTTGCGTGAGTTTTGAGCTTTTTTATGTTCTATTGTGCTTTCTAATTCTCAAAAAAGAAACTACCGTAATGTTGTCTCTGTGGAAAATACGAATAATTCCATCATTGCTGTATTTTTCGTTGCTGATAGTTCAGTGGTAGAATAACGGCTCGACTGATTTACGACTGATTTATCTGCACAAAGAGATCTTATAGAAAAAGTGGAAGAGATTTAAACATATAAAGCACAGAGATTATGAATCTAAAGAAATATCACAAATTCACTTTATAGATTTCGGAACAGTTTCAATTTTCAGGAAAACTGTCGAGCCTCCGCGAAGTAAGACGCCGACTTCATGGACAAAAAACGAGGGTTTCACCTTTTCGGTTCCCGGGATACAAAGGATTGATTCAGAGGAAACAGATGGTCAGGAATTGAAGATTATAAAGAAGATTATAAAGAATATTATAAAGAAGATTTTAAAGAAGATTTTAAAGAAGATTGTAAAGAAGATTGTAAAGAAGATTGTAAAGAAGATTTTAAAGAAGATTTTAAAGAAGATTTTAAACAAGATTGTAAACAAGATTATAAACAAGATTGTAAACAAGATTACAAAGAAAATCAAATTTTAGATCCATCATTGGATTTGAAAGAGAGATGGGGGAAAATTCTGAACGAAGAATCGAAAGGCGACGTTTGGAAAGAGGAAAGAGTCGAGAGAAAACATGTGCCACCACATGTTACAAATATCGGTTTGTTTTCGCTAACTTGCATAGCAATAGAATTATTGCCCTTTTTCCTAGTACATAACTTAAATTTCAGGTGCAACAGGCTCACAAATCCGCGTCCCAAGCGTTCCATTGCCTGTTCAACATTCTCATCCACAACCTATCAACCTTCAAAAACCGGTTTGTAACTGAAATTGTTTTGATTCTCTTTGTAAATCTAGATAATCTAGATCAACAAGATCAACAACAACCTTTAATTTCAGCAAAATCTTCCCCAATCTCAACGATCTCCTTCAACTCCTGATGCTCATTATTATCAAGGATTTGTCAAAGACATTCGACAAATCTACTCGTGAGTTAAACACTAAAAAAATTATAAAATCCAAGATTTAGCCAACCAAATCCAGTGAAATGGGAAAGAAGTCAATCAGTCGGAAACATTTACGAAGTTCCAAGAGGGAATCCTCGTCTAAATCAATCGAAACGAGAGACGCAACCGATTGTGATCGAGAAATTGGATCGACCAGTCTCTACTCCAAATGTGACACGAACCGAAACTGTGACAACACCGACATTCGTGAAACAATCAACGAGCAGTCATGTGGATACACCGGCAAGAGAAACATTCAGTGCAACGAGTCCAGCTCGGCTGATGAGTCCGCGAAGATTGGAGAGTCCTCGGCCAAGACCCGTTGATTTGAGTTCACTCAGAGCTGATCGCGAGTATCGGTTTGTGATTTATATTTGAAGTGAAAGAAGTTTCAATTCCAGTTTCTACTCTCTCCGCACACCAAGCCCGTCAACTCCAAAAAGGACGCCAAGTCCAGTCTTTAGGTAGATTGCTTAGTTTTTTTTCTTTTCGCTGGCTTTACTGAAGGTCTAACTTTGCTCAATTTGAGTCCTGACCTATAAAAAGTTGTACTTACCTGGTTTGATCCAGATCTTGCACCTGGCTTTGTAAAATTTCTGATCTTTGGTTCTAGAAAGATTTAAAAAAGAAATCTAAAGTAGATTAGAAAGCACGATTACGATAGCTTTTAAAAATTGATTTACTAAATTGATATCTATTGGTAATTGGTAATTGATTGTTAATTGATATCTAAGTCTACATTCTACATGTTTCAGAGAATACGCTCAAGTTCAATCTCGTGTCGAAAGCACATCAAAGGATGAACCGATTTATGATGAAGTTCAAGAAGTTCAAGAAGTTCAAGAAATTCGACAACCATCTCCAGTCAAACAATTCTATTCGCCAACTTGGCAGAGAATTGAGCAAGAAATCGCTCGATCCAATGCCCAATATATTGATGGTTTTGATTTAAATGTTTATCGAACTTTTGAAATATTTAGAAACGACTCAACATTATCATGAACACCGTCAACACCATGAAGTACACCGAAGTGAAGAAGCTCATCATCATCAGGATCATCACCACCATCAACATGTTCACCATCAACATGTTCACCATCATCCAGGTTTTCAAAAACTCATTTGCTTTATGAGAATTTGGTTTTAGAGACAAGAGTTGAAAATGAACCGCATGATTCCCATCACCATCACCATACCGATTACAAACATTTGAATGGGCACTCGAAAATGAGTGACGAAGAACGATTCGTGATCATTGGTGAACTGCAAAAAACCCCACTTTCGCCAAAACCAAAACCCGTTGATTTGAAAGAAAGAGAAATTGAGAGACGTCCTTCTCCACAAATAAGGAGAAAAACAAGGGAAATCCTCGAAAAGGAGGAGAAAGAACCCGAATTTATACAGACACAACGGGAAATATTAAGAAGAAGAGAGGAAAATCAGAAGAAGTTTGAGGAAATGTTGAAAGCTGAAGAAGAAAAGAAAAGAATGGCAAGAGAAAGGGAGGAAAGAGAAGAAAGAGAAAAGGAAGAAGAGAGGATCAGAATCGATGTGGAGAGGAGGGAGAGGATGAGGAAAGAAGAGGAAGAGAAAAGAGTGAAGAGGGAGATGGAGGAGAAGGAGAGGTTGAAGAGAGAAGAGGAGGAGAGGAAAGGGAGAGATCAGGAGAGGAAGAGGAGGGATATGGAAGAGATGGGCAGGGAGAAGGAGAGGAGGGAAAGAGAGAAGATCGAGAAGGAGGAGGAGGAGAGGAGGAAAGAGGAGGAGCACAGGAAGTGGGAAGAGGAGAAGAGGAGGAGAGAGATTGAGGAAAGGAGGAGGAGAGAAGAGGAGAAGAGGCTGAAAGAGGCTGAAAGCCGGGAGGATATGATGCGTATAGGGATGCGGAGAAGTCGAGGATGGAACCCATTTATGATACGGTTTATGAATCTCCAGGATTGGCTAGACCCAAACCGTTTGTGGAAGCGACTTATGAGGCTGTTGAGCGGAAAGGGACCTCAAATTTGGAGGTAAAGGAGAGTCCGAATAACAAGCTCACACCAACTGAGGTAAAGAAATATTTGAACTTGAAGAAATATAGAAAAATAAATTTAGGGAGGAAAATGGCAAGTGGAAAGATATGAAGATGAGGATGTTGAAAAGAGAACAATTCCTGTATTTCAAGGACATGTCATGCATGATGGAAGAGAGGTAGAGCTTCTTCTCTACTTTTTATAGTACTGTAGTATTGTATTCTATATTACTTTAGTATTGTATTGGGTTAGTGAATTGAAACGTAATGAATTGAAAAAAAATGTAGCTGACGATGAGATCTTGTGGGGGATTAGAGGGTTGAGCTTCTGCAAAAGCTTGGAAACCGTAAAATCGACATCAACTCGGCTCGCCGGGGTGCACTACTATTAGAGAGAATACATATATAGTATTCAAGAAAAGTTCGCAACTATCTCGTCATCTATTGGGTTGGTGAATTGTAAACTGCCGGACTTTGAACTAAAATTTATTGAACATAAAACCATGAATTCATTCCAAATAATTTCCATTATTATTGACGACTTCTGCCCATTTTACAGGCAATTTGCGGATTCCTCTTTCGTAGTAGGATTTTGGTTTTGAATCGAAAAACTTTCAACGCCAATTTTTGACTGCTTCTTCCGAATCGAAGTGTTCTCCCGCAAGCTCATTACTCATGATCCGGAATAAATAGTAATCAAAAGGGGCAAGGTCCGGGCTGTATGGGGAATGCGCCAAAAGTTCCCAAACAAGGCTGTTTATTTTAGAGCGAGTCAGTGTGAGACTCAAAAATGGAGGACTGGAGATGTCCCAGTTTGAGCACTTTCTTCAAAAGAAACCCTTTTTGGTGTCAATGGAAAAGTTGTAGAGAATCAAAAATGAGGCTTATAGCCAAATTTCCAAAAAGATACACTTAGTAGTTTTGCTTAAAATGCAAGTTTTGTGAAAATTCGTAAATTTGGCAAATTTCTTGAAAACCAGTTTTTGAATCGTTCTGAAAATTTGGATATAAGCTTGATTTTTGATTCTCTACAACTTTTCCATTGGCACCAAAATGGGTTTCTTTTGAAGAAAGTGCTCAAACTGTCACATATGACAATAGGCGGCAGTTTTCAATTCACCAACCCAATATTTCTATGATCAAATAGTTTATTCAAATCTTTCAGATGACAGTTTTCCCTTTGGCTTCCGCTCATCACGTTGATCAAGTTCATTATCAATTAGGAGAAAATCAAAGACCACCTGGAATCCCCGAACATATCGATCTAACGTAAGATGATCAAATGGATCAAATGATCAAATGATCAACTAAACATTGAACATTTATTCAGAAATGCTGAAGAAGTGGTTGTTGAAACGAAAACGAAAGTCGTCACAACGGTTAAGAGGAGAGCATTGACGTAAGAATGAAAAGAAATGAAAAAAAATTGATTGCGAATTTTAGAGGTGAACTCTTCGAGGAGAATTATTCAAGTGAATCGAGTGGTTTCCCCCGATCAGTCCACATGGATTCACCTGTGCAAAGACTTTATGGGTAAATAAGCCAAAAAAAGAAATACACAGAAAAGCTATTTCAGAGCTCAAACCCTCGAGCATCCACACCTCGAATCGCCATTGAGTCGACGAAGTCCTCGACGGGAAATGATCGGCGATGGGGCGAGTCCAATTTACGATACCGTGCATTCGACTCCCGATCATTCACACTCGCAAAATCTCGGGTTTGATTTTGGACAAAATTTTATCCTTCTCCCTGTCTACATTGTGGCATTAACATAATAAATTGAATCTAAACGAGATCTTTGACAAGATCGCTCTCAAAATGCCAAGCGAGCGACACTCGGCTTTGAAAACCTTTCGACTTTGAAAACAAGCTATATAAAAAAGTTGAAAGCTTGAATTGTTTAGATAATAGGCACTGTTTTAGAAGACATACTTAAGATTTTACTCCAGAAAAATTAGAATGCTTGGTTCAATTTTGGCTAATCTAGGCGCTATAATTGTGAGCAATCTAGGCGCTATAATTGTGAACAATTTAAGCGCTATAATTGTGAGCAATCTTGTTTAATTTCTTTCGATTAAGCTCAATTCAAAGCTTCTGTCGACTATGATCTTCTGTCGACTAAATCTCGAATTTCATGCTTTTTAATGGATCAAATTTCTGTCTTTTGGCAAAAAAATGGCTAAAGAAATCTTGATTTTTACAGAAATTCTATAGGGACAAAAGATTTTATGAAGAAATCCGGGGCAACATTTCACTATATGACTAGCATTTGGTGGTTTAACATAATCTGCCTTTTCTCACTCAATAAAGGGACCATATGTCTGAAGGAAATCTTGTGGTGGGGAGGAGGGGATCTTGTATGAAAGGAGGAGAGAATCTGATGATGAAAAGAGGGATGAGGGGCTTTGCGTGTGTCATCTCCTCAACAGACTTCTTCCATCCTTCTTCCATCCTTCTTCCATCCTTCTTCCATCCTTCTTCCATCCTTCTTCCATCCTTCTTCCATTCTTCTTCCAACCTTCTTCCATCCAACTAAACCAAGAGTCGCTCTGATCTAAAGTTTTTAAGAGTTCTAAGGCAAAAAATCAGTTGCCCTTTTTAGACTGCGGTTACTATAAATGTAAATTTGTTGTAAATGTGGAAAATTCAATCTAGCTACTACAGTAAATCCTTTTTTGAGAAGCCTTTTGGAGAAGCCTTTTTAATTCAATTTAAGCTGTCATATTGAGCTAAATTTGCATTGAAAAGTTGATCTAGTATTGATTGAGTTTCTTTTGTTTTTACTTTTGTTTTTACTTTTGTTTTTACTTTTGTTTTTACTTTTGTTTTTAATATCTTTAAGGCTATACCACTTTGAGTTCTGTACTGATTTTCCAATTTTGATTCTGATTCTGATTTTTGTATTTTCAAAGTACACCAGTAAAAAGTGGTAAATCCTTGTTTTGAAATCAATTTCCCCCCGTGATTCGTGCATTTTGTGATGCCAAATGAAATCGAGTAATAGAAAAAGCCAATTCTTTTTTACCAAACTGTTATCTTCTGGGGTTTTCAAGGGATTCCTTTTCTTTCTTTTCATTCCTTTCTTTTTCATTTCTTTCTCTTGATTCCTTTCTTTTATTTACTCTTTAATAATCTTCCCTCTTTTCTCTTCCCTCTTCCCTCTTTCCTCTTCCCCCATCCCTCTCCCCCTTCACTCTTCTCCAAAAAGCTTCCCCCGAAAGGCTTCTCCCCTCTCCATTCCAATTCCTTTCCCCTCAAATCGATCGTTGTTTGTCTGTTTGTCTGCTCGCTTTCTCTCATCTCTTCAAATCTTTCCGAATTTTCTTTTTCTTTAATTTCTCTTTTCCCGTTGGATCTCTTGATTCAGTCTCTCTTCGTAAAGGCCGAAACATCCGAGGCTTGTTTACTGCTCTTTTCCATTTTCCTTTTCCCTAGTTTCACTCACTCTTCTTTCACATCCATTCCCCAAGTTACTATCTTCAACTTTTGCCCATTTCAATTCTATTTTTCGGTATTCTCATTGGATAGAGGCTAAAATTAGAATTAAACTGTCGATTGTAAGAGAGAATTTCAACATTTATTGCTAGCATTTATTTTCGAAATTGATTTTAAAATGGTAATTTGCATCCTATTATGGTAATCTTTGCAAATCTCAGGGTTTATTTTAACAATAACAATAAATTTGCATTCATAATATCAACCGTAAGAATGGTGATTGGCAATGCATATAGATTAGTGGAAAGTATACTTCATACTTTCCACTAATCTATATGCATTGCTTTAAATGCTAATTTTTCTATACAGGTTGTGTATTCTTTAAAAAAAAAAATACATTTATTGAAAACCAATAATGTGATACAAACAAAGGGTACATAATAAGACATAAAGGTTAAACACACAATTTTATGGCACTGCGGTGCCGTTCTCACCCCTATTTACCCCTATTACCCAAATGTTGTGAAAGAAAAAAACCCACTTGGTGGGAAAAAGAAACATTTTTATTTTGCCAGAGTGATTGAACCCTCGACCTTCCGCTTCAGAGACAAGACTCCTAACCGGTCGGCCATCTGGCCATTCATATGGAAATTTTTCGATTCTATGCTAATTTTGCAGCTCAAATCATCGATTTCCCTTAAACAATAACAGTGAATTTCCATTTCTTCAAGTCATTTTCGAGAAGAAGGCCGTGTTTTCTCGTTCTATCTACAGCAAAAAATCATATTGAAGTGAAAAAGAGCGAAAAAAAAAGGAGAGCGAATCGGGGCGATTACCGAATCGGCTCGAGTTGTGTCCCCCTTTTTCTCCTTTTTTTTTCTTTTGCTCCGATTTACCCTCCCCTATTTACTTTTCACAAAAAAAAGCGCCGTTTGACCAGTTTACTCTAGAACCCATCAAATAACAGAAAATTTTTGATTTCCAGCAAGTTTTCTAATTTTTCATTGACTTTGCTTTTCACGATGATCCAGTTACAACCAAATTTCTATTTATTTATTTATTTTGCAAGCCTTGTCCATTTGTCTCCAGCCACAGATTCATCGCCAATGAATTCGCCTTTGTTTTTATTCCTCTAAACCAAATTGGCCAGCTAGCTAGAAAATGGATAAGGAAAAAGAGAGATTTCCCTTTGCAGTTTCCCAGAGGAGTCGCTTGAATTGAGGAGAGAACCCCTGGAGGGCCCAGAGCTGAGGCTAGGCTGCCCCGAGTCCCTTCACGGCCCTTTTATCCCTTCAGCCCTGTTTAGATCCCTAAAAAACTAAAGCGATTCAGCCGTTTTTTCCCTATTCTTTTCCCTATTCTCCTTCTGTTTTCTGAATGTCGGTTCTCTTTTCTCTTCCTTCCTTTTCTCTTCCTTTCTCTTCTCTTCCTTTCTTTCTTTTCTCTTCCTTCCTTCTCTCTTCCTGCCACACATTTCCATCCTCTTCTCCATCATTTTTCCCCTTTCCCAAACAAGACAACACTCCCATTTTCCTTCAAAAAAAGCTTACGCACGCTTTCTTTTTTTAGTTCTTTAAGTCAAATTTTTCTTTTAACTATCATAATATAAACTATCATATCACTTTTAATTTGTGTAAACTACTGTACGGCATTAGAGCTTACTGTAGATAGATTGGATAAAACTAGAGCCAAGAATACGATTCTTTTCGACTCTTTAACTCTACCCTTCCATAGTATCCATTTGCCGAATCGGGCAAAAAATCGATGCAAATGTTTATTCTTCGATGGCAAAAGAAAGAAAAGGAAAAGAAAAGCGTTGTGTGCTTTCCCCTTCAAGAATTCCTCTCCTTTTTTGTGTCATTTTCTTGAAACCTTTTAAACTTTTTAAGCTTTATTTTTCTTTAAAATGAATCAAATGGGTTTTAGTGCCGAGGATCGAGTGCCAGCTACACCATTACAGGAACATTTCGAGACACAAAGGTATACAAAGATATTTATGAACAATTAAGTAGCATCCCTAAAATAGCTATAGTATAATAGGGTAAATGCAAGTTTTTAAATGACGTACAAGAATTTGATTTCAGATCACAGCCTGAGTATCGCTCAATCGGTACTAGTCCACCGGAAAAACTTTCCCCGGTTGGTTAACAAGTTTTTTTTTATTAAATATCATAATTTTAAATAGCTTTTCTATCGGTTCTAATCATTTTTTGAAGTAATTTTTACGCTAAAATAAGTCCTAATAAAGCCAACATAGAATTTGAAGAAAGATTTGAATCCTTGAAAGCAGTAAAAAAAATTTGATTTATCCTGTTTTTGTTGACAGTTAAAGATATAAATAGATGACTGTTTTGAACAGAGTTTCGATTTGAATAAAAACAGAAACCAAGAGTGAAAACGTGAAAACGAAAAACTTTTTTTAACACGTTCGGGACGATTCGGTCCACCGTTGGACGAAGGTCGTCTGGCCCCTGGAACCCCTGGGACCACCGGTGAACCGAACCGGTCCACTGGTGGACGAAATTTTTGACGCCCTATAACTTCTCAACTTTTTAAGATAATTTCAAAATGTAAAAAGATTCGATTAGTTCTTTTTGAGGCAGAAATATTTTCAAAATATGATTAGAGATTCGGATTCAGTATGAAATTTTACATTTAGGAGGTGTATTTCGGGGCTAATAGCTTTGCGAGACACCCCTCGTCCACTGGGGCAGTAACGCAAAAAAAAACGCCTCGTCGCGAATGTGTTAACACAAGCAATTATTCTAGGACGCTGAAGGGCAATATTTCGATCGTAACGGTGAATTGAGAAGATCGTGGCCGGTGAAGACTTACGAGGGAAATCAATTACAACTCGGCACACATAAATACAAATTGAAAAAAATGCCTGATTTAGATTCAGGTGAAAAAGGAAATGAATGAATAAAAGAGATCGAGATTTAGGTATCGGAAGTGGAGAGAGACCGAGTCCGGAAAGGAATGGAGAGGAGACGCCCGCTTTGAGGGATTGGGATCCACGAGTCATGCTTCATGCACTTTATGAGGTCAGCTTTAAGAGCTTCACTATTTCTATGCGATTAGAATTCTAACTACCTTTTCAGCTCTCCTATCAACCTCGACAGGAAACGAAAAGAGATCGTTTTGTGAATATGGAGGGCCACGTCGAAGTGCCATCTGATGAAACAGCGACTGTCGCTGAATTAGAAAGGAATTGGAAAGAACAATATATGAAAACAAAAGATGGACGATTACAAGTATTTGTGGTAAAGAAATCGAGGGATTTCATTGAATTTTTGATAAGCTTTAGACTCATTACGCGGGTGAGGCTCCAGTTCAAGATGTGTCTCTTCACGGAATCGAGATTGATGCGAATAGAGAAGATCGAACATTGCTTGTCCATGGAGGAAAGGAAAAGATCAAGGTTTTGCTGAGGTGGGGTAAAGAAATCGAGGATTTCATTCATTTAATTGATTTATTGGGTTGGGGAGAATGAGTCGGCGCCGAAAATGAAAAAAATGTCTAAAATTTCTATTCGACTTCGTCAAATAATATGCGTTTGATATGAGTAGAATGGTTAACTAATTCTCTACAAAATGACATTTAAAAGAAAATTCAAACAGCGCCTCCGCTCAAGAAAAAGCCATTTTTTCACAAAAACTACAAACTGTGATCTAGAAAAAACCATTGGTGGGATCTTCCTGCAAATTTGGCAACTTAAGTAATTCAATGTGCTCTATCTTTTTTATATAAACACCAAAGAAGGTTTATGTGAAAGAAACTGTTCAAATGATGAGTCGGACTCTTTGCCATTTTAACCAGCTGCGTTTGGAAGTTCATAAACTCCACGAAAGAAAAGCTTTGTGGAATCTCTCAAAAGTCATTTTGTAGAGAAATAGTGGATCCTTTTGATGAAACCAAACGTATGTTTAAAGAAGGCTTTATGTGTGCAAAAAGTCCCTTTAAAGTTTGGCGCCGACTCATTCTCCCCAACCCAATAATTGATTTAATTGATTTAATTTATTTAATTGATTTAATTGATTTACCGTATTTTCTCTAATAGCAGTGCACCCTGAGCGTCGCCTAAATTGCTCGAAATCTCGAGAACCGCTTATCAGAACCGATCGATGTGGAGTCGGAAAATGTAGCTGACGATGAGATCTAGTGGGGGATTTGAGTGTTGAGCTTCTGCAAAAGCTTGGAAACCGTAAAATAGGCATCAGCTCGGCTCGCCGGGGTGCACTACTATTAGAGAAAATACGGTAATTGATTTAATTCATTTAAATGATTTCAATCAAGTTACGGATACTTTAAAAGGCAAAAACTTGTATTTTAAAACTAAAATTGAGTGGGGTTGAGTGATTAAAATGTTTGATTCATTTTCAAACAATGTTATGATGGGTTAAGGGTTTCTGGATTCAAAAATTTAACATTTTAAAGCTCTCTTCTGGTTTTCTGGTATCAAGTGAATCCATCACCTTTTCTTAAACTAAAGATTTTGTTTACTGAAACTAAAGAACATCTTTCCTTTCTCCAACAAGGATTGAAAGAGTTCCCTCTTCCATACAATTCTTTCCACTTTAGGATCAAAAAATGCGACACAGCGGAGACGTTCGACAAATGGAGACAAGCTCTTCTCTCACACGCTGCCGCTTCCCGTTTGGATCAATATGTGGAACCGGTGCAAAGAGCCCTTCCACACATCTCAAAGGTGAGAAAATGTTTTGTCACGTTAGGCAATATGGAGGTTTTAGCGAATTGTGATTCTGGAGCTTGGTTCGACGTCGATTCGAGCAGGGATTCTTCATCAGAAACCGAAATTGCCACAAGTTTTCTTCCCGGCAATTGGTTGTGTTCTAGAAAATGGGCAGATCATTGTCGGAAATGAAGCCTATGAGCCACAGGTGGGTGGATGGAGAAAGGACCTTTTAAGAGGCTTTTCGAAAGCGTTTTCATAAGGCCGTCATGACCGACTGGCTAAGAGCCCCGTATCTTAGCCGGGAGGTCGGGTTCAATCCCGTCAACTGGATTATCGACTCTTTTTCTCATATATTTTATTTTTTATTTCTTTCCTATACTTAGGTTGTGTATTGTACTTTATTCATGTGAATAAATGTAAATAAAGGTATCGTAATCCTAGAATATAGCCTCCAATTCCAGAATCGACAACAAGGCGAGCTCGTGCGAGCGATTCAATGTGATCCGTCAATTGAGAGGTGAAAGAGAGTCAAAAAAAAGGTTATATGATTGAATTCAGATACACCGTCGACAAAGCCGTGACAAGAGCTTGTATCGAGAGAGTGATTCGAGAGCTTGCAATCGATCCAACGAGCAACCACGTCCTTCTCTCATTACCTCAAAATATCCCCTCATCGATCATTGGAGAACTTCTACAGACACTTCTCGGCGAACTTGGATTCAGGGTAAATTGATAAATAGATAATTTGATATGAATTCGATATGAATTCGATAATGATTCAACTTTTAGGCAGCTGGAATCACCCGTCAGCCATCATTAATCCTTTATTCGTATGATGTGACGACGGGAGTTGTTGTCGATATTGGTGATCGATTGAATATCGTGCCGGTTATTGATGGGTATATGGTCGAGTCGGCGGTTGTCTCGATTCCGATGGGCGCTCAGCAAATCAGAGATTCCCTCAGAACATCACTTGCCTCACATAATAAGGTGGGTAAAGTTGAAGCTTGCTAATTTTGACGCACTCAAAACTTTCGGTTTATTCGAAAGCTTGAATAGTTAATAAATCTATCGGGTTGGCTCTGAAGCACACGCTTCAGAGCCAATGCGATAGATTTATTAACTATTCAAGCTTTCGAACCCTCCCGTAACCACTCAACATTTCCCATAAATTTAAACGTTTTATAGGATGGGATTCGGGTTTAATTGGTTTAAGAATTTTGTTTTAGTTCATTCGGACGTTTAGGGTTGTTTATGGATTAATGTAGCATCTAATAACTTACCGTAAATACTGTAATAGTACCCCACCGCCCTCGTACAGTCGCGTAGTCGCAAAAGTTTTTTAGTATTTCATTTTTTTCAAAGCGCTTGTGCTTTCAAAAAATGCGTCTTGAGTATCAAAAAAGTAGCTGAAATTCAGGGCTATTTTTTGATACCTAAGCGCGCATTGTAGCATAAACCAGTGTCGAGAAAAACTCGTTCAAAGCTAGACGACGCAACACTCCGCACCGTCATTATGGGGGTGGGGTACTATCACAGTATTTACGGTAGCTGTTGGTTACGGTTACGGTAGACGAGTCACACTTTAAAGTGACATAGATTCGAATTCTTCGAATTGTAAAGTTCTGTACTCAATTCCAGGGTCTCTTCTCTTTCCAAACGCCGTGTGAGCGCTTGATTCTGCGATACGTGATGGAACATGTGAGTAGTAAAGGCTATAAAAGCTTTCGATAGCTTTCATATCAATTTCATCTTTTAGTCAACTTATGTTCCATCTGACTATGATGCCGAGTCACGAACCGGTGGAGACAAAAAGAGTATCTCGTTGACACAATTCAGACCAACGCCCAGTATGCCAACACAATTTGAAGTAGAGTTTTTACAACAACAAAAAAAATGAAAATCTATTCATAGATTGATGACTCTCGTTTCACATGTACTGAGGGTTTATTCCGACCAAAGAAATGGGCACTTGAATCAAAGGGAATACACCAATTGGTTCACGATTCAGTCACACAATCACCAATCGATAGTCGACGAACACTCTACAAGTGAGAGAGCATAGGATTTTGAATTCATTAGAAATGGACAAGTGAATGAGATAATGAACAAGCTGATCCACTTTCAGAAACATCTTTCTTGGTGGCGGAGCATCACTTCTTCCAGGATTGGCTGAGAAATTGGAGGCTGAGTTGGCGGCTATTGTTCCATCAACAATTCATGCACAGGTAATTGGGTAAATGAGGGCTAAAGCTAGCTACAGTGAAAGCTAAATATTTAATCTTATTCTTACTGACAGAAATCCTTTCAGGTTCACATTTCTCCATGGCGTTATCACGCGGCTTTCCTCGGTGCTCAGGTATGGAAAAGACTTTGAAAAGACATCTCTAAGTCTTCTGGTTTGACTTTACCATATTCTCAAAGTACTATACAGGGTTCTCAAAGTACTCAAAGTACTATACAGAATTACCGCAACAACTTTTTGGAAAAGTATCTGGGAAATGTCTAATTTATTTCAAAAGTGGCAAGTGTTATACGGAGAATTGTAGGCCTAATTCTCGGCAACATTTATCTACCAAAAACATCCCGATTGGACTTATACAACTCATTTAACAAGCGCTTGAATGAGCGCTAATCGACATCTCTCCGAATCTGTCATTTGGCCACTTGTGGCAGGTCCAAAAAGTTGTTGCGGTAATTCTTGGTCACCCTGTAGATTGCAGTAGCCATCGAATTGAATCTAATAAATTGAGCACACAATTCTCTCAACAACTCATTCTAGGTGTTCGCCTCAGCATCCTCTTTCGAGGATCAATGCATCGGCGCCAGTCAGCTCTCGAAATTTCTCTCTCAACTCCAAGCATCTGGATTTTAAATCAAAAAAAAAAAAACTAAAGTTCTTTAATTCGAAAGATTTTCCGAAGTGCAATTTCTAGAATCCATTTTCTTTTGAGTTTTTATCTTTTCCCTTTTTCCAAATGGGTCCAAAATTCCACACCGATTTCTTCATATCCATTTCTAAATTTGAATTGATCAAAATTTTAATGGATTGATTGATTGATTGATTGATTCATTGATTCATTGATTCATTGATTCATTCTTTGATTCATTCATTCATTCATTCATTCAAAATTCTTCCCAAATTTGAATTTATTTCTTTTTTTTTCTAAATACCAACCGATTTTCACAGCTATTCCATTTTTGTGCTTTAGAATTGTTTTGCCCGACTTTCTTGCTTGAAATTCGCTTTACTCTGGTAAAAAATTGATATATTTTGTTTTGTTTTTTTTATTTTTCAAACTTTTCTCTTCCAATTTTCTGCCCTTGTTCATATGTGATATTTCTATTTTCGATTTGCTAAAGCTTTCTTTTTTGTTTTCAATTTTAACATCAAATTGATGAGAGGAATATGTAGCGAAAAAACTGTAGGGAAAGTGGGAAAGATTGTCTCAAATTTTATTATTATCTCAAAGCTAATAAATTTTCATTTTTATAGAAAGACAGAATTGAAGAAGGAAAATGAAAAAAAATGAAAAAAAATGAAAGAATGAAAAAGCTGACTGAAGACGGGGCAGCACAAAACGACTGAAAACATCGACGACAAAGCTCTTTTTAATGTTTTAGCCTCTGAATTTGTATGAAACAAGAAGCTTTGTACTCGGCATTTAATACTTTAGAGTTTTCTTTCTAATTCCTAGCTTTGAGACTATTGATTTCAAAGGTTGAATTGAAATTGAAAAATCAGTGAAATCTTTTCTTTTTCCTTTATTTTCTTATTTTTTTTGACTTTTTCATACATATTTCCTATCGAAATTTCGATTTATAAATGCAAATTTATCAATTTTTTTTTGATTCAAATCCGTATCCGAGTTTTCGAAACTTTTTTAAATTTACTTTTATATAAAGTCATCAAAAAAAATGCCCTTAACCCATAGCTGTTCGAGCTCGCCAAATATGATATTTCATTGTCCAGTAGTGTATCTGGATACTCCGACAAAGGAGAATAGCTGTTCGAGCTCGTCAACAAGGGACCAAAGTGGCAACAGTCTGTGAAATGTTCTCCGTTTCGCGAAAAACCGTTTCTCGACTTTGCAAACGCCAAAAATTGGAAGGGGAAGTGCACTGACATGTGAAAAAGCGTCGACCACCAAAAACAGCAACAAAGGAGGATCGTTGTTCAGTTCGTGATTGGTCAGGATGTTCGTGAAGGACCTAAACGAGATGAGCTCTGATGGAGAGAAGACGCTTCAGGCGCGCTTCGGAGCTAATGTAAAAAACGACAAACGATTCGGAATCGACTCAAATCGGCTCGATTGTTTGCTCGACCGCCGACCAGCACCAAAGCCTCTGATGGTTTCGCGGCATCGGCGATTGCGATTGGCCTTCACAAAAAAAGGTACAAACATTGGACGATAGACGATTGGAAGAGGGTTCTCCGGAGTGATGAGACAAAGATCAACATGTTCAACCCGGATAGTGGTCAAATGATTCGATGATCTATTGAAACACGCTACAAACCCAAGTATCTTCGTCCTACGGTAATTCAATGGTGGCGGAATGATGATTTGGGGTTTGTTCACGTTTTTCTACAAGCTACCTAATTGTGTCTTGTAGCATATCGGCGTCCGATGTTAGTCCGCTGGTTTAGACGGTTTAGACGTTTGATAAAGGGAAACATGAATGCCCAAAAGTACAAGGACATACCGGAGACTCACATGCTACCTCATGCACAAGCCAAAATGGGACAAGGATGATTATTCATGCAAGATGGGGACCCGAAGCACGCAAGCCAGCTGATGATGGGACGGTGACTACAGATTCGGAGAGGATTTTTCTTAAGGATGCCGGCCTGGTTTCGTCAAAATGGAGTAAAAATACTTGGAACACCTCCCTGCAACCCCGACATCAACCCCATTGAACACTTGTGATCTGTAAATCGAAAATTGAAAGGAGAAAAGTTTCGTAACATGGCTGAACTGAAGCTCAAGTGGAACAAGTATGGATGTTGTTTTCTCAACAAGTATTGCTCAAATCAGTCTCATCGATTTCCCAGAAGACTCAATAAAATGAATACCGTATTTTTCGAATATTTTTTTTTTTTTTTTTTTTTTTTTTTTTTTTTTTTTTTTTTTTTTTTTTTTTTTTTTTTTTTTTTTTTTTTTTTTTTTTTTTTTTTTTTTTTTTTTTTTTTTTTTTTTTTTTTTTTTTTTTTTTTTTTTTTTTTTTTTTTTTTTTTTTTTTTTTTTTTTTTTTTTTTTTTTTTTTTTTTTTTTTTTTTTTTTTTTTTTTTTTGAAGACCCGGGTAATTTTGATTCGTTTTTTCTTTTTAAAATTTCTTTTCTGCATAAAACCTTTCAAATTCAATGGGAAGTGCTATAGGGCTGAAAAATGGCTCAAAAATCTGTTAGCTCATGTGGTATTTTTGAGCCATTTTCCAGCTCTATAGCACTTCATTGAAAGCTTTTATGCAGAAAAGAAATTTTAAAAAGGGCTGCTACCCAGGAGTACGCGATCATACTCTTTACCCGGTCTTCTATTCGAAGAAATACGGTAGTTCCGATAGATTTCTTGATCCCAAAAACCCCCGGGTACAAATTTACAGCTGAATATCCTTTTGTAACATCCACAATCTCTATCTAATAGTGACTGCGAAGTGTTCTTTGTGTCTCCAATCGCTTTCCATCTGGCAAACCCCCTCAGCATAAGGGGCTTCCTTTTTGGATCTTGTAAAGGAAAAGGATTGACGAGGGCCTGAATGCCCTCGCCCCCGAATGCGCGCGAATGCTCGTTCCTCCTCGTCATTATGTCAAATTTCCTCAGGAACCGTTGACCCAAATTTGGCTGTATTTCTGCCCACAAATTGCGCAACCATTTTTTCACCCAAAAATATCAAGTACAAATATGTTAAAAGCTACAAAATGTCACCAACTCTCAATCGCTAACCTTTAAAATATCCTCATTCCCTAAAATAACTCTTTTCTCTTTCAAAACTAGAGCCGTTTATTTTCCCCATTTAAAAATTGGATGTGTTGCATAAAGAATTTGAGTTGATATTTCATCAAAATTGGCTCTTTTGAGAATTCCTTCAATATGAATAGATTCTATTGATATCAGTTGATTGAGTGGGCTCTTCTCATTTTACTTCTTTTCTCATTCTTCTATCGAATACCGAATTCTCTCTACCTTTATTTTCGCCTTTTTTTTTTTACTTCCCCGTCATCATTTACGTTTAAATGATGATTTTTTAAAAGTAAATTTTATACTTTGTATTGGATTGGTTCTCTTTTTTCACGTTAACTTTTAAGAACACCAGGGAAATGAGCTTTCAATTCCATGATCAACTTATAGAAGACAAACCTTGAGCTTTCAATTCTTGATGAACTTACAGTGGAAAAACTTGTGTAGCTTCAATAGATTATGTCCTTCTTGTGAGTGTTTCTCTATCGTTTTCTAAAGTAGTTTCACTTTCAGAGACTACCGTAATCCTTTGGATAAGTAAACATTGCTTAAACTTTTTTGGGAAATTGCTTTTTCAGTAATTTAACAAATTTCAAGCAATTTCTATTATTTTAGATAATCAACAGGCCATTGAATCATTGAATTTTCATTGAATTCTCATTGAATCATTATCATTGAAAAGCAAAGTACCATTGTCTTTCGACTTAAAGATTTTAAAAGGCAACTGGTCTACGGTAAGAGTATCCCAGGTTTTCTGATGGCCACCAGATGATAAAAGTGTGGATGTGGATGATAAAAGGTGGCCTTTTATCATTCACCTTTTATCATCCACATCCACAAAATGCCAAAAGTAGATTTGATAATTAAAGTCAAGTTTATGATGGATTTTTGAAAGGATACACTTAGGAAAAACAACTTTTACTATTTACTTTGTCCTTTTTAAAATGTTTCCCTCAACTTCTTGATTTCTCGTCACTTTCAGGTACCCCGCCAGATGGCGGTTCGAGATCAGTTTTCTCCCGTTTCCATCTCTCAACTCATTGTCTTATTTCTTGTACTAATATTGGGAGAATGTGGGGTGAAAGCACAAGAAATTCCCTCAAATCACCAAAATCTTTATGAACGATCCATTCGGGTGAGAATTTTTGAAACATTTTTTTCGCAAATGAGATGAGCATAAAGGGCTTTGACGTCAAGCTATTCATTTGAAAAAGCGAGATTTTTTTTAAACTACAGTACTCGAGCTCATCTATTTTCCAAATAGCTTTCGCTTTCTAAAGCATGGAGTGTTTTTGCAAAAAAAACCTATTTACTAAAATGCAATAAGTGACTCATTGCCTAAGCCAGTGATCCCTGGTTCCCTCTACTTGTTCATAAAGGAATAATAATTCTTTCAACTTTCAGAGTTTTCCCTATTCGATGACGTTGGTGAATCTAGTGCCTACCGCTCGTGAAAATGTTTATGTAGCGGATTTATCGAAGAATTGGAAAACTGGAGAAGAAGATATTGAAGATCTTCTGGAAACATTGCAAAGAGAAGATCAACCATCAAGGAAACAAAAAAGTAATAAAAGAATGTTGATCTGATGAATGATAGAGAATAGATCGTGCATTCTTGACATCGTGAATATGGTAGAGAATAGATCTGGTGACATGGAGACATCGTGAATATGGTAGAGAATAGGTCGTGCATTCTTGGCATGATGAATATGGTAGAGACTAGATCGTGCATTCTTGACAAGTGCACTGGGAGGGGAATAAGCTATACCGTTGTCTTTTTGAAAGCAAAGAAAGTAATTCAAATAAACTAATCGAAATTTGGATTGGGTAAAAGGTTAGTGGACATATTGTAGACGTAGATTTGAAACCGATAGCTTTTTCCTCGAGATTTTCTTTTAGAAAACGCTGATAGGAATGTAGAGAGAATGCTTAGTTCAGCTCAAAAATAGAACAAAAATAGATCAAAAATAGATAGGAGAGCATCATTTTAAGATAAGTAAGCTTTCCAAATTGTCTTGATCAATTGATGGAATTGAAGCATTGAACAATGGCTTCTTCTGAACTAGAGTGTGTTCCTTGCAGACAACGCGTTTTCTAAAAAGCGCGCGCCAAGGATAAGCTACCGTAACCCTATGCTTTGCGTCAGCAAATTTTTCAAAATGCAAATGTACATAAAAATCTTGCGCTCTTTTTTTCTATTACTCTTTCCTTAACTCTATTCCTTAACTCTTAACTTCGCTAAAACTTAAAATTTTTTAAATGCTATTTAAAATTAAAGAAAACATTTAAAACGGGAAAAGTTAATAAGCACTATTAAAAAATTATATTATTTACGAATTCACCAGGCCTATTGTCCACATTTGCACTAGAACCATTCCAAAAAAAAATTGCACGCCCTAAAAAACCTAAATCCTTAAATAAAACTATCCATTACTATATTTTAAGAAAAGTTTGCAAATTTTTTTCGCGCGACCTTTATAGCTTTGCTTAAAAAGCGCACCTTTTAGAAAACGCATTGTCGGAAGTCTTGTCGGATCAATTGTCTGACAAAAAAGTTGTCAATGAAAATTTGTCTGACAAATTGTCTGTCAACAAGGAGCACACTCTATTCTGAACAATGGTTTCTTCAATATCCGAATTCTGTACAGTACAGTGAATGATAGATATTCAGCTATCTTATAAAATTAATAAAAGCAAAGAACTTAGATCAGAGTAAATATTCTGAAAATAGCTTCTTTAATATTCAAATTTCAGGATACGCTTGCCGTTTCAAGTTCTGCAGAATATTCGATGCTTAAAAAAAAAGGGATTTCTTTTGAATGAACGCAATCTTTACAAATGTTTCTCGATCATTTCACTCAAAACAAAAAAATATTTCTATTGGGCGACGGTTACTTTCATTTCTTTTTTGATCATCTTTTTCTCTTTTTATCGATAAAGTTTTCTTGTTTTTCTTGACACAAAATCAGATTTATAAGCAAAGAACTTAGATCAGAGTAAATATTCTGAAAATAGCTTCTTTAACAGGGAGTGGGACAAATGCGGCCTTTTTTTGCGCACCCGGACATTTGCGCACCTTTTTTGTCCGCAATTAGCCCATTAGCGCACCTTTTTTCGCGTTTTAAAAAAGCTCTAAAAGCTAATATTAACATCAAACCAATTTCTATTCCAAAAGTTGTTTTTCTAGGTAATTTGAGGGTGTCGAATTCAAATTTTGACATAACAGAGCGTGTGGAACCAATTTGAAAGACAAAACATTCACATTCAAATTACAATGGTCAAATTACAGAAAATTGTTGATTTTTCTCTTTGTATAAATCCGTCCGTTCGCTTCCACAAGCTCTGATATGCTAAAATTTCGATTCTGCGCCCTAAAATTACCTAGAAAAACAACTTTTGGAATAGAAATTGGTTAATATTAGCTTTTTAGAGCTTTTTTAAAACGCGAAAAAAGGTGCGCTAATGGGCTAAGTGCGGAAAAAAAGGTGCACAAATGTCCGGGTGCGCAAAAAAAAAGGTCGCATTTGTCCCACTCCCTCTTTAACATTCAAATTTCATCAGATTAACCATTTATTCATTTAAATCATTAAAAAGTAATCAAAAAAATATATGAAAAGTAAGTTTTAAAAGTTTTCAATCATTTGATCAAATCAAATCCAAATATCCGAAGTACAATCCCCGCCAGGATATCTCATTTCATGCGCAACATAAGGACCACCCTCTATCTAAAGAAAATATTAACGAATCGACAGGGTGACCAACAATTACCGCAACACACAAAAGGCCTGGCTTTTAACCAAATATGAAACCCATCTCGAAAAGTCTACTTAAATATCTTTAATATCAACATATAACAGTAACAAATTAACAATTATTGGGTTGGTGAATTGAAAACTGCCGCCTATTGTCATATGTGACAGTTTGAGCACTTTCTTCAAAAGAAACCCATTTTGGTGCCAATGGAAAAGTTGTAGAGAATCAAAAATCAAGCTTATATCCAAATTTTCAGAACGATTCAAAAACTGGTTTTCAAGAAATTTGCCAAATTTACGAATTTTCACAAAACTTGCATTTTAAGCGAAACTACTAAGTGTATCTTTTTGGAAATTTAGCTATAAGCCTCATTTTTGATTCTCTACAACTTTTCCATTGACACCAAAATGGGTTTCTTTTGAAGAAAGTGCTCAAACTGGGACATCTCCAGTCCTCCATTTTTGAGTCTCACACTGACTCGCTCTAAAATACACAGCCTTGTTTGGGAACTTTTGGCGCATTCCCCATACAGCCCGGACCTTGCCCCTTTTGATTACTATTTATTTCGGATCATGAGTAATGAGCTTGCGGGAGAACACTTCGATTCGGAAGAAGCAGTCAAAAATTGGCTTTGAAAGTTTTTCGATTCGAAACCAAAATCCTACTACGAAAGAGGAATCCGCAAATTGCCTGTAAAATGGGCAGAAGTCGTCAATAATAATGGAAATTATTTCGAATGAATTTATGGTTTTATGTCGAATAAATTTTAGTTCAAAGTCCCGCAGTTTACAATTCACCAACCCAATAAATTCAAATTAGCCTCCATCGGCATTCAGACAGGCCTGCAAACTAAAGAAATGAACTTTGGGAACTAAAGAAATGGGGCTCATAACATAATACGACGTTGTTGCGATAATTCTTGGTCACCCTGTAGTAACTACTACCTAAAACTTACAGTATTCTAGTAGCTACTGTGCTCGGAATACTTGAAGTATATATTATCTAATATCTACAGTATCCTAGCACCTCAAATACTTTCAGTAGCTATTATGCTCATAGCTCATCAGCTCATATTCTATCTGTTGCCTGTATGAGCTCAAGTATTTTAGAAAACACAGTTTCCTATTTTAATCAATTATCATAAAAGAGTTCACCTTTCCAAAATCGATAAGAAAATCTTGATTAAGTGTCATCCCTCCATCAGGATTTATATCAATTTGAAGCATTACACCGCCTTCTTTCAAAAGATTTGGGTAAAATTGAGCGTCCCATGGTCTAAAAGAGTTCTCATTGGCTCAAAGAATCTTTTCTATAAAATGACAACTGAAAACTCAGCTACAGCAATCTTCTCTTTACTTTTCTATCATCAAAAGAAAAGAAGAAAAGAAGATTACGCGAGTTTTTCGCAAAATCCAAAAAAAACTAACCGATAAAGCGATGTTGTGACATAAAGCCTTTTCCCATCGAGACTCAATTGAAGCATTTGTGGAGCTCCTTCGATTCTCTTTCCATTCACAATCAATGGTGGTGGCTGTTTCTAAATTTTTCCTTGAATAACTTGAACTTAAAATAATCAAAGAAACTTACAAAGTCATTTGTTTTAACGGTGATTCTACTATCCGTATGCAAAGAACCACCCAACCAAAGCTAAAGAAGAGGCTTTGAAAAGTCTAAGGCTTTCTTTGCCAAACCTGTCCGGTAAGCTTCGGCTTTTGTGGATCCGAGATATCGTATTGTCTCAAATCACCGTGTAACCAATTGGAAAAATACAGAAATCTGAAAGGATTTATGGGATTTCAATTGGAAGATTAGACTTGTCATCCATTGAGATCAGAATGTCGGTGATCAAAGATGGCATTGATGGAAGAGCCCAGCCATCGACATCCAATGATGGAACACTCAAAACACAGTCAGCAACATACTTTTCGGGATCCTGGAATCGTGGATTGATACCAAAGTAATTGATTTGGCTCTGATCTGGTTTAGCTAGAGATCTAGAGTCGTTGAACTAGAGATCTAGAGTCCTAATGCTAATCATTTTCATTTTTTACCTCTTTGCTTGGATGTAAATGAAAGATTGACGAGCCAAGAGCCGCTCCGACAAAGCAATCCGGAGATGATGGTTCGTGAAGGAAACGGATCTGTTAAAGGAGAGAATTGCGACTTTAAAAACTTCTATAATAAGGGAAACAGTGGTCAATCGACCTATCTGAAGGGAATTTCTCGCCAAACCATTTAAACAGCTGAATATCTTTATATTTGAAGGGAATTTGTCACCAAATCGGGGTAGGTTAGTTTCCGCAACTTTTTTTGCGCAACAGGGTCATTTGCGCAACTGGGCCATTTGCGCAGCTGGGTCATTTGCGCAACTGGGCCATTTGCGCAACTGGGCCATTTGCGCAACAGGGCATTTGCGCAACTCACCATAACTTGCTTCTAAGTGGGCCAATCTTTATGATTTTAGTTTCATTTTGTAGATCTCAATAAGTGCAACAAAATGACCACCAAAATCATAAAGATTGACTCACTTAGAAGAAAGTTATGACGAGTTGCGCGAAAGGACCCAGTTGCGCAAAAAAAAGTTGCGGAAACTAGCCTACTCCACCAAATCAATTAAAAGGCTGAATATCTTTAAAAGGAATCGAAATAAGGTTGAGTTTTGAACTGAAATTCCCGACCGAACCTCCAATGGGATTGCCCCTTGTGGGAGTGGTAGCTCGATCGTTTGTTTCTTCACTTTATTCTTCCAATCAAACACATTCACATTGTGACCGTATTTCCCTAAAATCATCATTTCTTATAATTATAATGCTAACGAAAACCGATCTGAAAATGTTCCGGATTAAAGCCATTTTTGATGAGATTCGGTACACCCCATTCTGTTGAAATCATCACATTCTTTCGTGGTTGATACCTGGATTTAAATTAATTTTAAATTAATTTAAATTAATGTTCCAGCTGCTTGCAAGAATGAACCCGGATATGCGACACCGAAAGATGCAATGAATCAATAAGCAAAAGTTTTCTTTTTGAACAAACCAAAAATCGTAATTAAATTGAAGATTTCCATTTGAATTCCAATGATTTTTTGGTTCAAACGTTTTCCCGTCAAGAAGAAGAAAATTGCCTTAAATGATTTGTTTTAACATCAGCTTTTTAACATCAACTTTTTCACTTCTTTTTCCTTACCTTTATTATTTCCATTTTCATCTCCAAGCGTTGAAATCATAATCGATCCATCAGCCAAACAATGAGATGTGTGTGGAAATGAAACGTTGTGCTCTTTCAATTTCTCGGATGGAATTACCTGAAAGAGTAGGATTTCTATAGTTCCTGGTTCCTTTCTTATGCCTTACTTTTTCCAATCTCAAATTCTTCGGATCTTTCACATTGATTATATAGATTCGATCCGAGTTCAGACAAGGAGCGATGAGGTGAGATCTGAATAAAGAACAAATCTATTATTCAATTCAAATGCTTAACCCATTCGAAACTTCTGCAGCGAATAATCGCTGCAACAAAAACTCAGGAACGGACCGCTGCAGCGATTATTCGCTGCAGCGCTAATTGAGCTATTTTCATTCAATTAATTGCTTTTTTCAGCATTACATGTATATTCCAATTGTAGCAGATCTACAAATTACGTGGGCAAAAAAGATGTTTCATATTTACCCGGAATCAATGCAGTCTCTGGTTTTGCATTGAAATGTTCCATAGTAGCTCTAATCTTATAAAGCCGATCTCCTGCAGGATCCAGTTCATTATCACAAAAACGCAGGTTGCGAAGAATAGATTCAAATTTTGCTCTTGACCTAATGTGGGACATGTGGGAAAATCCTCCTAATCCAGGCCTGCTACTCCAGTAGACACGAATCCTCGGTAATTTGACGATTCCCATTTGAAGCCAGGAAGAGCTTGAAAGATTTTGCATCGAAATCCTGCCAGTTTGTTTTCCTTTTTCCATGTTTATTAGATTCGCCTACTAAAATATTGTCGTCGATAAAATAAGAATAATAATCGATAGGATCTTGAAAAGTACTGAAGTCAAATTCAAATCGTTCTTCATCAAAAATAAATGGTGTAGGAGACTCTCTTACATCTTTCCAACCATAAATAAACTGCTTCGGAGTCAAAAATGTCAAAAAAAGGGCTTGGTCCGTAGACGAAAAAAAAGAAAAAACGCTGCGGTTTCGAATGGGTTAATCGTTTTATACCTTTGTGCTGATGGATCTCCATGACATGACGAACAAGCATTCCATCCAGTGTGATGCACTTCATCTCCTCGATTCGACAAATCCACTTTCGAGATCACCTAGATAATAAACATTTGAATGTTTTGAATACTTGTCCACTTACTTGGCAATAAGTTGGACTCTCTGGATCAACATCAACCGTGCACACAGCATCGAATCCATTAAGATCAACATTAGGAGTTGTCACAAAGATCACTTTCTCGCGAGGACCCTAAACTTATTCAAAAAAAAAGATTGAAAAAAGATCGAAAAAAGAGCCATTTCTTTCAGCTCTATAGATAGATTTGATTAGAATTCGTTAAAATATGATCTAAACAAGCTAGTGATCTAACAAACATTCAAATGTTTATATCTAGGTGATCTCGAAAGTGAATTTTGAAATTGGTGCTGTCTAGAGAGAATCATCTAAATTATAAGTTTTATTATAAGAAAAGAGGAAAAGATTTTTTGGGAAAAAGAAAAGAAAAGAAAAAAGACGAAAGACTTTCTAGACAGCCTAATATGTGACAATTTGAAAGAAGTAAAGAAGCAAAGAAACGAAAAATAAAAAAATCACCTTCTCTTTTCCTTCTTCTCTTCTTTAATTTAAAACTATTATTTTCCCTCCCCTCCCCCCTCTTTTTTTTTTTTTTTTTTTTTTTTTTTTTTTTTTTTTTTTTGGTTTTGATTTGAATTTTTTTTTATTAAGTAAAGATTTTTTTTTTTTTTAATTTTTTTAAAAATTTTTTTTTTTTTTTTTTTTTTAAAAGTTTTTTTTTCTAAAAAGACAAATCACAGACCAGAGAAAGGCAACAAGTCAAAGTGGGTTTTTTGATGCACTCCTAGTGTATTTGATAGAGTTTTGAATGGGGATTCCGAATCCGCTTTTAGTTTTTCCAATGGAGCTCTGTATCGCAAGATATCTGGCATTAAAGTTTACGTCGATTTTTCGGAGCTTTTATAAGTTTTATTATAAGAAAAGAGGAAAAGATTTTCTGGAAAAGAAAAGAAAAGAAAAAAGACGAAAGACTTTCTAGACTTTCTAAATCTACTCATTTTAAATCTATCTATATTGTTAAAGATTTTCAATAAGCAACAATAAGCTCTATGTATTATTCTTGATTTTATTACCTTGATTGCATCTTTCGGTGTCGCATAACCGGGTCCATTCTTGCAGCAGCTCATCTCAGCAATTCTAAATAAATAGTAATGATCGATCGATAAAATAAAAAGAGATTTTGATTAAAGAAGTGAAAAAAATATTGTCTGATTGATAAAGATAAAGATTTTTTTAAAGCAAAGATTGCAGAGATTTGATAATTTAGAAAAAAGAAAAAGGAACGCGTGACAAAATGCGACGAAAGATCGTTGATGATTCGAATTGATAAGGACAAATATTTTTCGACTAAAAAAAAATGTGTAATGCAAAGTTTCGAATCAAAATTTGTCCTTGAATTTCGATGGAAATTAGTGTTGAAAAGAGGGGGAATAAAAACAAACAAAAAATGGAAAGGAAGGGGGAAAGGAAGGAGCAAATTTTGGAGAAGAGAAATGATCAAAAGTAATGGAAAGAAAATTTGGAGAAAAGGGATTGTGACGATTAAAAAGGGGAAAGAAAGGGCAATGCGGGGACAAAAATAGGCGCCAAATGGGTAAAGTGAAACGAAGATAAACATAAACGAGTGATTCATTTACAAATTTAATATTTTCCTAGTGCTAGTCTGCTAGTCCATTTGCTTAAGCCACTTTCATTCAACATCACTTCATTCGAAACACAAGGAAAACCCATTTAAACAATTATCCATAAGTACTGGTGGTAAAGATATCAGTTGTTCTCATAAAGATATCATTTGTTCCCAAAGCATCGATGCTCTTCTCTTAGAGAGCATTTTAACAAGCAAAGAAGTCGCGCAGCCATTTTTTCGCCTTTATCATCAAAGTGCTCATTCGACAATTTGGTTATCTTCTGGAAAAGATTAAATCAGAAGTGGCCGCTTCTGAAGGGCCGCTTCATCTTCTGAAGGACCGCTTCATCTTCAGGGGAAGATGAGGGAACAGCCCAAAGCCTTCAGCTTTTCCTTGATTAACTTCTTGACCTTGGGTTATCATGCTGTAATCTGGCCCTTCCTTTGTTCGGCCTCTTTTTTTGCAACTTCAGCTACGAGCTGATCTAGCTGATTGGTGTATAATAATGCTGTAATAGTTGTCCCTTTAGGTAGCAACTCCCAGTGCATTCACTTGTTCCCATTTCTTTGGGTATCCCATCACCAATCTTCTTCTGGTGGAGTTCGGGATTGGGTTCGGGGTTTTGGTTTTCTCTAGGGTTAACCCACTGCTTGTGTCGTTGACATAAAGCACCCATTTTTTTATTGCCTGTAATCAAATGGGGAAGAAAAGAACGACGGTGATATCCAGAGCGACGAGATTGAGAGATGCTGCCATTTCATGTGGTCATGCTCATGTGGAATCTAAGTCCCAAATTTGAAAGTGTAGCTCAAGATATGGAAATGGTTCATCATTGTAACATGATCACACTCAAGTTGAATAGCGAAATCATGAGATCTTTATTTGTTGTCCTCTTTAATGAGATTAATCAAATGAATTGTTTCATCAAAGTCACTCGGACGGCTCGTCTTCAAGCGAAAAGTCATTAAATTTTGAAGTAATGATACCACCTTTGAACTGTCCCTTCATTCACTAATTCATCCCCATAAACATTGTTGATTTCGGTTCCACAGGCAGCAGTTGAATAAATTTTTTGAAAGCAAAATAGTATCACATGCCGAATATAATTCTTGGACAGTTTGCAAAGAAATCAAAAAAATAAAAAAGAATAAAGGAATAATTCATTTGAGATTTTCAGTAATCAATAGTAAAGAAGCAAAGAAAAGAAGTCTAGAGAGACAAATCACAGACCAGGGCAACAAGTCGAAGTGGGTTTTTTGATGTATTTGATAGAGTTTTGAATGGGGATTCCGAATCCGCTTTTAGTTTTTCCAATGGAGCTCTGTATCGCAAGATATCTGGCATTAAAGTTTACGTCGATTTTTCGGAGCTTTTATAAGTTTTATTATAAAAAAAGAGGAAAAGATTTTCTGGAAAAAGAAAAGAAAAGAAAAAAGACGAAAGACTTTCTAGATAGCCTAATATGTGACAATTTGAAAGAAGATAATACTTTAATAACTACTAGAAGACTAAACGGAAAGGACAGGCGATTGGAAGGGACTATGTTTAGAAAACTTGCCGAGAATTCACCTGTCTCATGGGAAATCATTTGTTGTGTCATATTTCGGGTGTAATCGTTCTTCCATTTGCCTTTGCTTTCTGTTGAAATTGGAGTAGAATTGAAAAAAAAGGAATACAAGAAAACAAAATAGCATTAGCTCTCATTGTGTTTTCCCCATAAATTTGCAAGTTTACAAATCTAGGCTTTAGTTCATTCGGACGTTTAGGGTTGTCTATGGATTAATGTAACATCTAATAACTTACCGTAAACACTGTAATAGTACCCCACGCCCTCGTCCAGTCGCGTAGTCGCGAAAAGTTTTTTAGTATTTCATTTTTTTTTCAAAGCGCCCGTACTTTCAAAAAATGGGTTTTTGGCATCAAAAAATAGCTGAAATTCAGGGTTATTTTTTGATATTTAAGTGCGCATTGTAGCATAAAACAGTGTCGAGAAAAACGCGTTCAAAGCTAGACTACGCAACACTCCGCACCGTCATTATGGGAGTGGGGTACTATGACAGTATTTACGGTATGTATTTAATATTATTTTGACTAGTCTCACTCACGTCGATACTCGCCTAACTTCGCCACAATGCTCTCATCGATGGCGAAAACTGAGGCTTTCGACGCGTAGGTTTGCTCGAAAACAAAGACATTCGGATTTCGATTCTCCACTTGGAGTTTGATATCTTTGACCATTGGTGCAGCGAGAATTGCGCCGGTCAACATCTAAACTCTGAAGTGTGTCGCTACCGTAACCACTCAAACAGTATCAAAAAATAGCTGAAACTCAGGGCTCTTTTTTTGATACCTAAACGCGCATTGTAGCATAAACCAGTGTCGAGAAAAATCTCGTTCAAAGCTAGACTACGCAACACTCCGCACCGTCATTATGGGGGTGGGGTACAATTACAGTATTTACAGTAGGCAGTTCTTTAGAAAAAGCTCAACTTTCACCAATGAGCTTTATTGTATTTTATGGAAATTGTTGGGAATGTTGCAAATTCTCGTTTCTCGTGTAGAAAAGGGAATTGAAAAAGAGATTTGATTGATGTGAATGAATGGAATAAATGAAAAGAAAAGCAATGAAACGAAGCCAATTTTATCCCTCCTTCTCGTCTATTTTCGTCGGATTTTGTTGATTTTTGGTAAGTTGCAACAAGGGAGATTTCATACATTTCATTCATTTTCTTCATTGTAAACTTAGCAAAAAACCTTTTGAATCTTCAATAACATAGAGAATGCTAAAATTGGATAAAAACTAGAGACAAGATACAGTAGCCCAGACATTTTCTATCGACAATGGTATTCCTTTGGTTACTTTAACATCTACAAGTTTCAGTAAAGCCTGAAAGATTGCTTCGGAAAAGCTTTGCTAAATGAAATGCCAGCTTATCAGACTAAAATTTCTAACTTGCATTTGTAACTTCAGAATCTTAACTAAATCCTTTCGTTGAACAGTCATTTGAATTCCATTCCCTGAAATCTTTGTGGGATCGTTGTATGTGAGAGAGTAAATTCCTCTCCCAATTCCCAGCTTTCTGCACACATTTTTTCTGCACCAAAGCCCTTCACGAGTAGATTGGGAAAAGATTCTTCTTTCCTCAGAAAAAAAGATATTCAGTTTAAGGATTAAATATTTTGAATGATCAAAGCTTTTTTTGTTTTTTTTTGCCTTTTTTTTTTTTTGGTTTGTTTTTTTGTTAGGGAGTAAAAAAAAAAAAAATAAAGGAATAAATAATATTAATAAAAAATTAATTTTTTAAATTTTTCAGATTAAAAAAAAATAAAAAAAAAAAAAAAAAACAACCCACTCCCCTCCTTTTTTCTCTTTTTTTTTTTTTTTCTATTTTTAATTTGGTGGGGGATTGATGGTTGGATTGTTATAATATTAAAATTTTCTTTTTTTTTTTAAATATTTGAAAAATTTTTTAAATTTTTTTATTTTTTTTTTCCTTTTTTTTTTTTTTAAAAAAAAGGAAGAAAAAAAATTAGGGGAAAAAAAAAAGGTCTTTTTTCCCACCCCAGTACTGGCGAATTACTTAGAAATGTATGAAGGGCTTTTTGTCGAAGTTTATTGAAGATTTTTTGCAAAAGAAAAAAGTTAAAGGAAAATGATTTTGTTGTTTTGTTGTTTTGTTGACATTTTAAGGGTTAATTATCGAATCTGATGTCAATTTGAGGGGAAAAGGCTTGGATTTGAATGGATTTCATTCGGAAGTCATTTCTTTTTCCCTTTTCTGATCTATTCCAGTATTTCAATGTAAATCTTTTCAAAAAGATTTCTTGTTTTTTTCTTTTTGTAGGATTTGATTGAAGAGTTAAATTTATTTAGATAAAGGTTTCTCTTCAGGGGAAACCATTGCATTGTATTCTTTTCGAAAAAAAGAAGAAGAAGAAGAAGATTAGTGTCATTTTTCTTTTTCTTTTTCTCTTTTTCTTTTATTTCATTTGAACAAATCTAAAGTTTTCTGAAGTTAATTTTTCAAAAAAATGCTCATTTACTCGACGGATTACAAGCTTTCAGATGAAAATTATAAAAGAAAAAGAGAAAAAGAAAAAGAGATCATCTGAAAGCTTGTAATGATCTCTTTTTCTTTTTCTCTTTTTCTTGTATAATTTTCATCTGAAAGCTTGTAATCCGTCGAGTAAATGAGCATTTTTTTGAAAACTTAACTTCAGAAAACTTTAGATTTGTTCAAATGAAGACACCAAAGCTATCGGAAGATCGCGGTCTCATCTCGGCATTCACCCAATGGAAAGACTCCCTCGATCACTCCAATTTCTCCTTTCCAGTTTGTTTTGAGAGACAATTTCTCATCGTAACCTTTAATCGAAATATTACGGTAATTTATGAGGTACAAATATTATAAAAAGTAAACAATTGTACTTCTAAAAAATAAGTTTGAACTCAACGCGTGATTAAACGGTTAACCAAGGGTTTTTTCCGTAAAACACAT